ACTGACTGACCATTCCTCAATAAACTATTTCACATTGAATGTTTCGTGATAGTGAAGTCAGAATGATTTTTGCATCTTTAGCTAATAAAAAATTCACGAAGAGAATTATTGTTTTATCCTACGGCCAACTTGGATGAGACTGATCTGGATAATTCATTGATAACTGGTATTTTCAATCTCGTTAACAAATGGATGACGTCAAAATGTAGGAAAAACAAACCGAGTTCGTCACGTGGCCGAGTTTGTAACGATTGTTTTTAATATTCGAGTCTTCACCGAACATCCCAAGGGGTTATTACATCCGTAAACCAATGAAAAGTTGTTAAGGGAAAATTTCCGTTTTTATTTCCTAAGCTGCGCTACTGCAATTAAGATAGGTATTGTTTTTTATATCAGAGCTGTGAATTCGCATCTAAGTTTCCTACTTTAATGGCCTCGAGTTTATGGCATCCGTCTTTTTAATTTTGAGATTCCTTTCGTCGTAGAAACAGATGGAATATTTAAGTAGTTTTCGTTTAACTTCAAAGAGATCTTTTTCCGCTCCTTTGTGTCCCTATTCAAATATTGCGATCTGTGTAACAACAGCACCTCACACCAGTTAGTTCTAAAGTAAGTACTTTTACAGCTTTGATGATTACAAACTTGAGTACGCTAGAGGTCATGTCGCTTGTTGGCCTGACCTAGAATAATAACCTACTGTGGACCCAAAACGCTGTCTCTTCCTTGACATCCGTACAAGCTCACTCGAAGCAGATCTCCGTGTGCCAGGAAACCGTGACAAGTTTCCGTTCTCGAAAGCCGAGGGGCCTCTACCGAGCTAATTCCCCCCCGTTTGTACGTTTTCCGAAAATTCCAGTGTAGCGAGCGAAAACTTATCGTCACAAAGTGTGGTCTATATGGATTAAATATGTTTAAAAAGCAAAGCTTTGTAAATGGTTACGTCATCTTTATTATCCTTCAATATATCATAACATGAAGAACCAATCAAAATGCATGTATGATTCAGCTTATTACCTGATATCTTTTATTGCCGGTAAAGTTCAGGATAAAGTTCAAGGTAAAGCTGGCAAAGCATCGCGGGGTAGACCCTGGTATTTCATCGCTGCTGCTGCCGCTGGCCTGGCTCTTTGTGTCCTCAAACTGGTTGCTTGGATCGTTTACTGTGCTAGAGGAAAACGTTCTGCAGCAAAAGAGAGGGTTAAGGGAGACTTTACTTTTAACAATCCGGCCTTTGTCTCGGCTAATGCCAAACACCCTGACCCTGACATGAACGCATAAGTCCGAAGTTAAAGAACTTTTCCACAGTTCCACGATTGCCAACGGGCAATCCATATTAATAGAACAACAACAAGGGTCCCATGGTTGTCCGCTTGCCTCAGATCTTGCTGAACTTCTTTACCTAATGAGTACAAGAGCAACCTACGCACCCTTCCTCTTTTATTCTTTCAAAAAGTAAAACTGGGAAGGCAAGGATTGATCGTGAACAATCATCTCTATTTAATCATTAGTTTTCATGCACACGGCCCTGCTCTGTCATTCGCCTTGGAGTGAGGCTTTAACTTATGTGTTCATCGCGAGTATTGTAAAGTAGGGATTAGTAATTCCTTTTAGGTACTCATCGTTTGGATAGGATTGATCTTTTAATTCCAAGGTTATTTGGGTTTCGGCAATCATATATTGTTAGTAGAGCATTTTTATCTGGTTATTTTGTAGTTTTAGTGCGAGTGCGTGCAGTTTTTACTTTTTATTTTCGCCTTACCTTGGACCTTCGCCTGATGGGTTTTTTCGAACGCATTGAGTATGTTGCTTGAGGTTTTCATGAAAGTGTTTGTTTAAATACAGATAATAATCGTGTGAGGTCGCGGCCAGCATATCCGCTCGTGATATTCGATAGTGAATAGTTATAGAAGCGTGCACTCTTAAGTTACTGAAAGAGGAAAAGTGAATTTGTTGTCACGGTATAGAGAATAACAGAAACTGTAGCAGTGGTTGTTGCGATAAAGTTAATAAAAAAGACTAAAAGAAGCCGGCATAGGTCCTTTGGTGTCTTGCCTCAGCGTGGGTTACTCTCCGCCGCTAGTCTTCCCACCCTATCCAGCTATCAACGTCCCAAAACTATAACTATAGAGTCCACGAGCAATGCTATAAAGGTAATAAAGACGACTGAAAGAAACTGGAATAGGTTCTTTGGTGTCTTGCCTTAGCGTGGGTTATACTCCACCGCTAGCTTTCCCACTTTATCCACCTGTCAACGTCCCAAAACTTTAACTATCGAGTCCACGAGCAACGCTATAAAGGTAATAAAGAAGACAGAAAGGAACCGGCATAGGTTATTTGGTGTCTTGCCTCAGCGTGGGTTATACTACGCCTCTAGCTTTCCCACCCTATCCACCTTACAACGTCCCAAAACTTTAACTATCGAGTCCATGAGCAACGCTATAAAGGTAATAAAGAAGACTGAAAGAAACCAGCACAGATCCTTTGGTGTCTTGCCTCAGCGTGGGTAACAATCCGCCGTTAGCCGTCCCCCCCTTTACCACCTGTCAACGTCCCAAAACTTTAACTATCGAGTCCACAAGCAACGCGAGTACACTCTTTAATTCGCGTATCTACAATTGAGCTGACAAAGCTTGTACCGACCAGAATCCTTCCCTGATCAACAGTTCCTTACTTTCCGGGATTTTTCCTTCAATGATATAACAAGGAAAGGTGAATAATGAAATTTTTAACCGAGAATCTAATTGTCAATTCGCACCTCTAGTACTAAATTCTCTATGAGAATTTGGCGTTAGATTAAGACAACAACTTCTATCTAATAAGTCTGAATATTGTCATTACCTGTTTGCTGAATACCGTATGAATATGATGGAGAGAAGTTACAAGTGAACCCCTACTTTGATCAGAGAGAGGGTGAGCAGCCAGTTCTTACAAATGACGAGGGAGCTCTGGTACGATGCTGATATTGATTTTATTTCACATTTTGTTCTCTGTAGGTTTAACAATTATGCAACTGAACACAACAGCTAATGAATCAGAATCTTACTGGGGTAATGGCCTTCACGGCTAACGGTCAAAAGTTTCATTTTACAGCTAACAATAGATTCTATCCATGACGCTTAAAAAAAATTAACGGTTTATTCTTTTTACGACTAGCAGTTGAAATTTGTCAATTTTGATGCTTAACCGTTGTACATCTAAAAGTTAATTCCATTGAGACTCTCTTTTAATATTTTCTTTCCTCAGCCAGCCATCTTTGTTCCTTCTCGATTTATTGTAATTACGTCTTTTGAGATTTTCTATCTTACCCAAAAAACATTTTGTAGATGTTTACAATACAAGTTCATCTTCACATCCTTCTACCTTCTTGGTTTATCATTGCCTCCTTCGGATATTCCATCTCACCGAACAAAATTGAATAAAATATAAAAGGAGAACGAAAAACGCAAATAATACAATATTGTATCTAAACATACATTTTATGCTAATTGTAAATGTTGAAATGACCTTCGCTGGATCTTTAACAATTAATTCTAATATCAGTTTAATTCTTACTAAGTATTCTTATCTATAAGCAACTTTCGTTATTCTTCTTTTCCGTGTTCATCATGCCGTGAACTCCATCTATTTTCCCTGCTGAAAAACGAAATTTTAGAGCAAACATTGTACAATGTCTTGCAATTTTTGTCATCACTTGACTCTCTTAGTACACTCATTTTCCCTCACTCATTCGCCCTGCACGACTGCGGCAGAAAAGCAGACGAAAAAATGCAGCTTTTTGATATTCGATTTTATAGTTTCCTTTTCCCCCCATAAATGATTGAAGTGAATGGCTGAATTAATTAATTAATGAACGAATGGGTGGACAAAGGAATGAAGGTGTATGGAAGGTGAAAGGGCTGGTGGGTGAGTGTTAGATAGAGAGGTGAAGTGAGAAAGGGAGGTAAGGTAATTAAGTTGGGATGACGGTAGGAAAGGACGAAGGTACGGATAAATAAACTAACGATTAATTGAATGAATGAATTAACGAACGAACAGACGTGTGTATAAATAATTGAACACTATGGAAACCAAATCAATCAAATTTACTGCAATTAATTTGCGATATACTTAAAACGTACAGGATTCCTGCAAGAGGTTCACCACCGAGTGTCTCTCCATCTCAGATGTATTATTATGGTTCAAAACTGGTGTTGATCTCGTCTTTGGTAGCTCACCAGACTTCCGGCCAAATAACTTTCGGATTGCGTCTTGAACCTTGAAAGACATAATAAATCCATAGTAAATGTGTTTTTTCCTTTCTTTCCTTTTTTTTCCAAGGGAAAATTGGAGGGCAAAGAGGAAGGTTCATGTTATTGGTATGTACTTATCCTAGAAAACTACTCAGATCCGTAAATCACTGACAAACCTTGATAAAACTGTTGAAATATGAAAGGAATTATCAAAGGCAGACGAGATAGTAACGAATTTAATTATGCAATTAAATTCCTCTGATCGCAAGAATCTTCCTCTAATTGAGAATTATAAAAAAATTATGCCTTGATTTTCCCTACCTCTTCGTCAAGAACACAATGAAAGATGAAAAACACGATTCCCTATGACCATAACAGAAAAAATCAAAATGAAATAGTCATATTCATAGTTTTCGTTGACCAACTGGGAGTTGTATGTTTGCATGGTACAAGAACAAGTATTTTCAGAGGGAAGCCTTGGTATTTCGTTCACGGGTTTATTACGAACAGACATAATGACAGGCTCCAAATTGGCTTTTTAGTTCAGTTGGTAGAGCACTGCACCAGTATCGCAGAGGTCATGGATTTAAATACTGCACAGGCCTGAATTTTTATCAGGTCTTATTTTCACTACTGCCAAAGTAGTTACTGCAAAGACTGCTGTCATATTCATTTCTATTTACATTTTTTCTATATTTTAAAAATCTTAGGGATCAGTCATAATTAATTTATCTCGGAGGGGGGGGGGG